AGCTCTACGCCAACATCGACAAGTGCGTTTTCGCGTCACCAGAGATTAAAGTTCTCGGTTGCTTCGTAAGCAACGTGGGCGTTCGAGCTGACCCAGACAAGGTCAAGACCATAGCAGCATGACCGACGCCCCGACCCCAGAAGGATCTTCGAAAGTGGTTGGGCTTGGCCAACTACCTTCACAAGTACAGCGCAGGGTACGCGGGCTTCGATAAGCCCTTGTCGGGCTCCTTCAGAAGGACGTCGACTGGCGCTGGGAGCAAGAGCACTAGGATGCTTTTGACAGCATCAAGGCCTGCCTCCAAGAGGCCCCTGTCCTGGCCCTGCCGGACGAGACGAAGCCGTTTAGCGTCGTCTGCGATGCCTCCGATTACGCCATCGAATGTGCATTGCTGCAGGTCGACACGGCTGGACATGAACGAGTCATCTCGTTCCAGTCCAGGCAGCTCAAAGCCGCCGAGCGGAACTACCCTGTCCACGACAAGGAGCTCCTGGCCATGAAATATGCCCTTGTGAAGTTTCGTGTTCACCTTCTGGGCTCTAGGCCCTTTGTGATCTACACAGACCACGCGTCCTTGAGGACGGCGACTAACTCGCCTCACCTCTCCCAAAGGATGGCGAGGTGACTGTCCTTCTTCACGGAATACAACTTCCGCGTCGAGTACAAGCCGGGCAAGCTCAACGTGCTTGCGGCGCCCTCTCTTGGCGTCCTGACTATGAGTTGGCCCACATCACGCGGGTGACAACGGATGTATATGATCGGATACGCATGGCGTATCGGGACGATGAGGCTGTCGCGCCTATCGTCAAGTTCCTTATGGCAGGAACGAGCGCAAAGTCCGACTGGCTCCCGTCGCGACAGCGCTCACGGCTCCACCGATATGAGTTGAAGGATGGCCTCCTCTATTACCGGGTGGAGCCCAATGATCCTCCACGGGTGGTCGTACCCAACGATGAGGATCTGAAGTTCGATATCCTCGCGGAGGAGCACGACACGCCCTCCAGCGGCCACTTGGGCCGCGAGAAGACCTTTCTGTCGGTCTCTCAGTCCTTCTGGTGGACCCACATGTACAAGTGGGTCGCCCGGTACGTTAAGACATGCGAAACATGTCAGCGGGTCAAACCCGCAGGGCACTCTTCGGCTCCACTACAGAGCCTGCCCATGCCGGCTGACTGTTGGAAGTCGATGAGTCTTGACTTCATCTTTGGGCTTCCCGCCGACGGACACGGCAACACCGGAATTTTGGTGTTCGTGTGTCGGCTGAGCAAGATGGTACATCTTGCTCCGGTTCCCGTCACTGTTACGAGCGAACAAACCGCAAGGCTGTTCGTCGATGGCGTGTTCCGCTATCACGGTCTCCCGGAGACGATTGTCTCGGACCGAGACCCGCGGTTCACTGCTGCGTTTTGGAAAACGCTGTTCCCTTTACTGGGAACTCGTCTGCAGATGTCCACTGCGGATCATCCGCAGACAGACGGCCAGACAGAGCGCGTCAATCGAGTGCTCGAGGACACTCTGCGCAGTGTGTGCGCGGCAGCACCACGTACGTGGTCGACGCAGCTTCCAGTTGTTGAGTTTGCGCTCAACAACGCGGTGAACGCGTCCACGGGGTTCACGCCGTTCTACTTGAACGGCTTCCGTCACCCCAGAGTGCCTCTCACTCTTCGAGGAGACACTGACTCCTCTATGCTAAGTGGGGGAGAGGCTCGGAAAGCCCTTTCCTCCCAGGTATCGGATGTGAGACCAGTTTCGCTGCGTAAAACAGGTGGAATCCTTTCTGAATACCAAGCTGAGCGTTGTCAGCAGGGTCCGCGATGCCATGGCAGCGGCCCAAGATAAACAAAAGGAGTACTCAGACAAACATGGAAGAGGAAACTTAAGTATATTTAAGGTGGGGGACTTAGTGTTGCTAGACACGAGGAACCTACCTCTTGACACTGTCAGCTCTGTCGGCAGCAACAAGCTGAAGCACGGCTTCATCGGGCCATTTGCAGTCCTGGCCAGACATGGTGCGTCGTACGCCATCGACCTGCCAAAGTCAATGACGACGCACCCGGCGTTCTATGTTGGACGTCTTAAGCGGTATTTTGACCCGCAGGGGGTTGCTCACTCGCAGATCCCCCTTGACCCAGCTCCTCGAAGCGAGGGCCGGTCACAGACGTCGACGAGGGCGTCGGAGCAGGAGCCCAAGCCTCGGTCGGAACGGCAAGGCTGCGGTCAAGGTCGTACGCCGGAGGGGCTCCGTATGAACGGACCCCGGCGCCATACGCTGAGTACGCCGGGTACGCACCATACGCGTACGTCTGGGAGTGTGCCGCAGGCGGCTCCGGACGTGGCAGCAGAGCCTCGATCCGTCGGATCATGCGAAAGACCTCGTCCAGATCGGACGAAGAGGCCCGGCGATCCACCCACAGGTGCAGGCTCGCGACCTCTCGCTCCAACAGGTCCAGGCGGCCCGCAAGACGAGCGAGCTCGCCCTGATTCCCGGCCTGGGCGGCAGCATCACCGCCAGTCCCAAGGCCAGGTGCAATCTCAAGCACGAGGACACGTTGACGGAGGCGGTCAACCTCAGGGCCCTGTGTCGGACCCGCAGTCGGAGCATTCGGACGAGAGTGGCTTTCGGGAGACGCCGAGTACTCGTACGAGGGCACCTCCGCCCCTACTTGACCGGAATGGAGAAGTCCACTTCCACGTGGAGCGGATCCTCCAGGAGCAACGGCGTCGCGGTAAGCGACAGCTCCTCGTGAAGTGGAGGGGTTATGACCACTCCGAGAACTCGTGGGAGCCGATTGAACGGCTCCTGATTGACTGCCCGAAGGCTGTTGCAATCTGGGAACAGAAGCGGCGGCAGCTTCATAAGTAGTCCGGGGCTTCTTACCCGAACGGGGTACGGACGATGAATACATTCCGTACCCGCGCTCATCGTGAGCGCTAGAAGCCGCGCGCTTCAGGATGTCCCTTGGCAGCATGCGCTTGCTGATCAAGTGGGCCAACCTCACACGAAGATCACGCTGGTCCAGGATGCGGGACAGCAGCTGATCTTCATGGAGTTCCCGTAACTCCGTGGGTGAGTACTTAAGAGTCCCCACCCATGCCCAGAACATGTCCTCACAAGAACTCCACGTGGGACAGCTCTCGGGCATAGCCCAGGGGTATCCCCAAAGAGGATAGAGACCACCCCGGGTCTCGGGCTTCTTACGAAAAAAAAGGAGCGTGCCTCACGGCACGCTCCTTTTTTTTGGCTGTAAAGTTCTCTTAAGCTGTAGGATACAAGTATGTAACAATGCAAATGTGTATGATACAGGTTTGAAGTCTACTGTGGTAAGCGGCAAACGGACAGGTCATCCTCTTCGAAGGACACCAACTGTGGACCAGCTGCCGTTATTCGCAACCTGAGGCAAGTTTTTGGAGCAAGAGGGACCATCGAAAAACGTCTAGTGGTCACTGACCGATTTTACACGTCACCGACACTCTCCATGCAGCTCCTAGCAATGGGGTTCTACAGTATAGGCACAGTGAT